ACTGGCTTCGCCCAATCAGGGTCCAGCCTCGCTTCCAGCACCAAGTGCAGGAAGGAGGATGAAGAACTGCCAGAAAGAAGGAAGGGAACCAGAGCCTGAAGAGAAGACAGCCAACCCGAGCTCCCGACACCGTTAAGGACGAGAGAAACAAAGATGCCCTGTCACTTACTGCCCAGTTCTTGGCCTTCCACATATGAACAAAAAATGGCAGTTGAACTAAATTACAGCAGAGAAAGAAAACACCTGTCCCTGAGTGCCCAGCCAAGAATTTTTACCACCACACCCTGTAACTCGAGCATGATGCGATGTGACTGAGATGCGTGTCGGCAATGGCTTTTAAATTTACTAAATTAATTCACCAATGCCCTAACCTTTAAATGCTTCTAACACCAGTGGCTACAGGAACATTTTTCAAAAGCAGATCAAAAGAGAGCTATGTGGAATAAAGAGGTTCATAAAAATGTTAGTCTCACCATAAATTACACGTTTATGTCAACCCTGACTTTCTTTCCAGAAACACAGTGAAACACAGTGTATTCTTAAAAGTGGGACTCATTCAGGCAGGCAGACAAGTTGCAAAGACTATCACATTTCCTGACCTCCTTCTAACTATACGGTAGGATTCACCTGGAACAAGGTCCATATATACCTGCCTCTGACAGCCAGGAACGTGAGGACAGGATCAGTTAAGCAATTCTTGAGCTCATAATCTAATAGAGACATGCCAAAAAAAGGAAAATGATCCTCAAGCAGGAAAATAATGTACTCTAGGGGAACAAAGAGTGGGGAGGAGAGAGACCCAAATAATACAACTATGGCCCAGAGAAGTTAGAAAGCTGCCCGGGGTCACAGAGCTGGCCATTCACGCACAGAATTACACAAATCCTGTAAGCGTGAACTCTTACTCTTTTAAGCACTGTAAATATAGGGACTAATTGGGGCACCTGGATGGCTCAGTCGTTAAGGGTCTGCCTTCGCCTCAGGTCATGATCCCAGCATCCTGGGATCGAGTCCCACGGTCGGTCTGGCTCCCTGCTCGGCGGGAAGCTTGCTTCTCCCTCTCCCACTCCCCCTGCTTGTGTTCCCTCTCTCACTGTCAAATAAATAAATAAAAATCTTTAAAAAAAAAAATAGAGGGACTAATTTAATCCTCACAATAAGCTATAAGGCTTGTTACTATTAATTAGTATTAATCATCAGATGTTACATAACTGTTACCGTCAGTGTTAGTAACACCAATAAGACTATTATAACTGCATTTTCCAAATGAGTACGCTGAGGCACACAGAGGCCAAGTAACTTACTCAAGGTTACACACCTGGGAAGTTTTAAACCCAGACAATTTGGCTTGAGGGTTTGTTCTCTTAACCGTTTCAGTTAGTAGCAACCTTTGAGAACATTTCAAAGCAAAATTTAATCTGAGTTATTTTTTTTTTTATTAAATGCAATAATTTTTTATATCTGACATTTTCCCAGTATTTTTTTTTTTGCCAAGGGTTTGTCCTCCATCATTCTGGAATCTCAGCCTGGCCGTTTACTTGCTATACGACTGCGGGCCTGTCAGTGGCTAAGCCTCAGTGTTCCCATCTGCAAAGTGGGCACATTCCTATTTGTTGGAAACGTGTGCATGCCAGATGAAGCAGATAAAGCCCTGTGCCAAGCCCATCATAAGCACTCGGTGTTTGCTGCCAGCACTGTAGTGCTTATTAATGTCTCGCTAGCACTTCCTAACAACCGTGTGAGGTAGGCAGAATTTATTATCCTCATTTCTCAGATGTGGAAACCCAAACTCATAGAAGGGAAACAACCAGCCAGAAAGGAAACAGCCAGAATGTGGAAATGTCAGACTTGGGACACGTTCCAACTCCGAGCCTCCTGCCCTGCTCCCAGCGCTCAACACCACCCGCCCCCCCCTTTCCCAGGAGGCACTGTTAAATGAGTCAGATTATTCTTCCAACGGGACTATGGAAAAATTTGAAGCAATTGGAAGTCGAGGCTCAGGGAGAAGCTCTGAGGCATGTTAAGAAAGTTTTCGAGGTGAAAACAGGTTCCTAGGTAGGGACAGATGAGCAGCACCTTCCCTCATCCCCAAGCCACTGCCAGAAGGGCAGGAGGGCCAGGGGTTGCACATTGTGATGAACGGTGCTCTCCCAAGGAGCTGCAGGGGCTTGGCCATGAGTGGAGGAGGGGAGCATCCCAGGCTGGGAGGCTAAGGCAAGTGGGAACATTGTCATCTTACAGGTAAACCAGACGAGCGTTTTCAATATTTTAACGCTGTCTAAAATAATCAAATACTACTTTAAAATGGCATTCCACTTGGGGTTTTTTAGTTTTTATTTGGTTTTAGTCCTTTGGTGCTTTTCTGTATTTCGGTGCACTTGCTCAAGCTTCTATTAGTGCTTCCCATTGTAGTACATGGTGCATTGGGTCCTGTGGCTGCAGGCAAAGGGCTAGGATAAAGTCAGGCCCTCTTCCAAGAGGTAAGATCTTAGCCAACTTAAGACCCAGTTTCTTCATCAATACCAGGAACATGATGGAAAGATTCTGGGATTTGGAGTATCTGTGTTTGAGGCCAGCCCTCCTAAAATGAAAGTCACCTGCTTCCCCTTCCTACATTATGCGGAGCCTTCGCCAATATTTGTTTTCCTTTTAAAATGAAAGGGTTTTTTTTTTTTTTTTAAGATTTTTATTTATTTATTTGTCAGAAAGAGAGAGAGAGAGAGCACACAAGCAGGGGGAGCAGCAGGCAGAGGGAGAAGGAGGCTCCCTGCTGAGCAAGGAGCCCAATGCGGGGCTTGATCCCAGGACCCTGGGATCATGACCTGAGCTGAAGGCAGACGCTTAACCGACTGAGCCACCCAGGTGTCACTAAAATGAAAGTTCTTATTCTGTATCTTTCAGTAGTAAGTTGGTTTTTTTTCAAATCAATACATACCACTTGCAGAAAATCTCATTAACATTCCAATGATTTACTCAGCAAATTGTTATTGAACACTCACTAAGTGCCAGGCCCTGTGCCAGGCAGCCCTGAAAAAATAGACCAGAGGGACTCCTCAGACAATGACAATGAACTATCCGTTGTAATTCAGAGACAGAGACACCAACTACTTTGGATTTCTCCATAGCACCTAGGACATGTCACGGGCTGTGGTAACGACGTCATATGCTCAGAATTTGGCTGAAATAACGAAACATCCTCTTAAACATGTATACACATTTCTCTAATTAGATGATATTCCATTTATGCCCACAAGGTGGCGATCTTGCTTACCGTTTACCCAAGCTAAAAGCACTGCATTAATAAAAAAGATTCTCAGAAGTTAAACCAAAAGATAAAAAATCAAATTCAATTTATTGAGCACCTATTTAGTGTAATATACTATGTTAAGTGGTAAGAGAAATAAAATGTTAGGAAATATTAGTCCCTGCCCTCTAGGTTAACATAGAGGGTGAGGAGCTTACACAGAGCAGGAACAGTACCTTTTAATGAATTACTATGTTTTGATGCCTACATATGGGAGCCATAGTGACTGCAGTATCAGATAAGATGTATAAAAAAGGCATGATACAGCTGCGTGGTGTGGAACAGATTCAACAAAGACTCCACACTTCAGCCAATATGGAAACACTTGAGGGTATACAGGGTCAGCTCTACAAGGCTCCAGATGTGGTCTTGATGCCTCTGTTCAGCCACAAACATTAGGGTGTCTGCCCTATAACTCTAAACACTCATTCTGTGGAGAATAAAATATAAGAAGTGCCAGCTGATGAGCTAATAAAGTTGAAAACCCCCATGTGCACCTGATGGGGGATAAAAAGAAAAGAAACACATGTAAAAAAACAGATTTCTAACTCCTGCTTCCAGGAGGTGGAGTCCACCTCCACCCCCAATCTTGCCTCTTACCTGGGAATCTTGGTTTGGATCTGGGACACACTCCTGCAGAGAGGGAAGGGAGGAAGGCAATTCTTGCCCAAGAGCCTTGTTGGTGGCTTGAACCCAGAGGTGGCTGGAAGACAGTGCGGTTTCTTTTGTCATTGTTTTGGGGTTTTTTTTTTCTCCACCCGCCCCATCACCCCCCGCCCCCCAACCATTTTTTTTTCCCTGAAACCATTAAACCAGCAAGTCAAATGTAATATCGGGATTTTTTTTTTCATTTGAATTGAAAATCACATTTGGAGAATCAAGTGGCTAAATGACAGTGAGTTTAAAAAAAATGAAAATGCTGGCAACTTGATAAAAAATAATGAGCTTTCCTGATGGAGGGAAAATCAGGTGGCGTGCTGCCAGAAGGTCCGAGTTTGAATTTTATTTAGTTTGTGCACTGGCTAAGTCCGCCGTATTGAGCAAGCCTTTTCCGCCTCAGTTTCCTCCTGGGCAAAATTATATCATTTCTTTGGAGAGAGAATCTCTGACACCTCTCCCTCCTGCACTAGGTCGGATCCTGGGTTACAATGTTCTCATAGCAACCTGAACCTCTCCCTGGAACGTAAGCTCCAGGAGCACGGGGAGATTCTGTGGGTTTTACTGCCCTGAGACCAAGCTTCGATGAACGGATGAACGAACGGCTGGGAGCTGGCCTAGGTGTTCTATTACTTGCACAGCGAGGTTTAATTCCCCGTGAGTCCCTTGGGAAGACGCAACGACCAACCTCAAAGCGCACACGCCCGCAGTGACCCGCGGTGGTAGGCGCGCTCGGAAAGGGGGTGTCGGTTCAAACTTGTCTCTAACTGGGCTGGAGTCACATTCTCTGTGGCTCGGAGCTTCCCATGGATTTACATAAGGCAGGGTGAATCACACCATCGGAAACCCACGAGGCGAAGGGACCCGCCCAACCCGCGCCAGGCGGCGCCCGGAGCGCGACAGGGGTCACTCGGAACTTTGCAGGAGGCCAGGCGCTGCCCCGGCGTGGGGTACCAGGCGACCACTCCGACCCCCTCCGGGACCAGAGGCGCGTCCCTCCCTCTCCCCGCGCAGCTCTGGCTCGGCACCGCCCCCTCCGACGCCCCCGCGCGGGCGCCGCTAGCCCGGCTTCCACCAGGCCCCGAAGTCCCCGACCGAAGTGGGGCCGCCTCTCCCGCTCGGAAGGAGCCATCGCCGCTTTAAGGGGAAGAGGAGGGGAAGGGGGCGGGGGTAGTGGGGGGCGGGGAGCGGCGGCAGCGGAGGGGGAGGGGGATCCCCCTCGCTCCCACGTGGTCCGGGCGCCTGTGAATCGCGCCCGCCCGAGGGTCTCACAGCGAAATACAAAAGCAGCTGGGAAGCGGCGGCGCGGCGAGTTCCCAGCGCCGGGCAGAGCGCCGGGCAGAGCCCCGCGGCCACGATGGGGCTGAGGCGCCCGGAGCCCCGGAGCCAGCACACTGCCGGGCCCGCCTCGCCGCGGGGACCCGGGCGCCCGGGCTCGGCTTGAAGCGGCGGCGGCCCCGGCACGGCCGGGGGGGGAGCATGGGCAGGAGGATGCGGGACGCCGCCGCCGCCGCCGCCGCCGCCGCGGGGCTCTGGCTGCTGGCGCTGGGCTCGCTGCTGGCGCTGTGGGGCGGGCTCCTGCCGCCGCGCACCCAGCCGCCGGAAGACCGACTCCCCCGGCGCCCGGCCGGGAGCGGCGGCCCGGGGCCCGCGCCTCGCTTCCCCCTGCCCCCGCCCCTGGCGCGGGACGGCCGCGGCGGCTCCCTGAAAACTTTCCGGGCGCTGCTCACCTTGGCGGCCGGCGCTGACCGCCAGCCCCGGAGGCCCCCGGGCGAGCGCGGGCGGCACGTGCCAGCCGGGCGGCCGGGTCCCGAGGGGCGCGCCGCGGTGCACGGGGGCGTCTTCTGGAGCCGCGGCTTGGAGGAGCAGGTGCCCCGCGGCTTCTCGGAGTCGCAGGCGGCGGCGTGGCTGGAGGCGGCGCGCGGCGCCCGGGTGGTGGCCCTGGAGCGCGGCGGCTGCGGGCGCAGCTCCAACCGGCTGGCCCGCTTCTCCGACGGCACCCGCGCCTGCGTGCGCTACGGCATCAACCCCGAGCAGATACAGGGCGAGGCCCTGTCCTACTACCTGGCGCGCCTGCTGGGCCTCCAGCGCCACGTGCCGCCGCTGGCACTGGCCCGGGTGGAGGCTCGCGGCGCGCAGTGGGTGCAGGTGCAGGAGGAGCTTCGCGCGGCGCACTGGACGGAGGGCAGCGTGGTGAGCCTGACGCGCTGGCTGCCCAACCTCACCGACGTGGTGGTGCCCGCGCCCTGGCGCTCCGAGGACGGCCAGCTGCGGCCCCTGCGTGCCGCCGGGGACGAGCTGGCCAACCGCAGCCAGGCGGAGCTGGTGGACCTGGTGCAGTGGACCGACTTGATCCTTTTTGACTATCTGACGGCCAACTTCGACCGGCTTGTCAGCAATCTCTTCAGCCTGCAGTGGGACCCGCGCGTCATGCAGCGCGCCACCAGCAACCTGCACCGCGGCCCCGGCGGGGCGCTGGTCTTTCTGGACAACGAGGCGGGCTTGGTGCACGGCTACCGGGTGGCGGGCATGTGGGACAAGTATAACGAGCCGCTGCTGCAGTCGGTGTGCGTGTTCCGCGAGCGGACAGCGCGGCGCGTCCTGGAGCTGCACCGCGGCCAGGACGCGGCCGCCCGGCTGCTGCGCCTCTACCGTCACCACGAGCCTCGCTTCCCGGAGCTGGCCGCGCTCGCCGACCCCCACGCTCAGCTGCTGCAGCGCCGCCTCGACTTCCTCGCCAAGCACATTTTGCACTGTAAGGCCAAGTACGGCCGCCGACCGGGGACTTAGCGTCCCCCGGAAGAAGAGAGGGAGAGACCCCCTGGCTGGGGAATGGATGATGGGGGAAGGGCCGTCGCCTCGGCCACCGCCTGGGACCGGCCAACGCCCAGCCAGTGGCCCCAGCGGCATGGAGGCTGAAACTTCACGGCTTCACCCACCTGCCCCTTTCTCTCAGCCTCGCGCTGTTTCCTTTCCAAGTTCGGGGAGGACGAACTCACCGGGGCGAGAAGTGTAACAGCCCCTCCGCCCAGCCTATAAAAGGATTCTGCCCTGCATCAGCGCGGAGTTTGGATCCGAAGAAACTGGCGGCCGGAGTCTGGCCCCCGGCTGGCCGTCTCTGTGGGAGATGCATCCCATTCCCTGGCCCCCTCATTCCCCTTTCCGAAAAAGGAAAACTTCTATTTGAGCCGATGAGCTAATTGTGCATTTCCTCCCAAATACGCGCTGGTGGCCCCGGAGCAGGGCTGTGACATTGGCTGGTGGAGCCCCCTTCCTGTGTTCTGCCTTTGTTCCAGCACCGTTCATGGTGAGATCACTGTTAGGAGGGGGGGGAGGCTCCCGATAGGACAAAGAGAGCAGGACCTTCAGAACGGGGAGGGGGGTTCTCCAGACCCTGACAATTTGTCTGACTTGTTCCTTACCCCATGTCTTTTTGGCCTAAAGGCTACGAATGCAGGACCGGCCGTATTGCACTGAGTCAAGTAATGAATTTCTTCTTCCTCCCCCCTCCCCTCCGACCAAAATTTTGACAATGATGATGTTCACCAGAAGAAAATGAGTTTCATGCACTTTACTTTGTTTTTATTTTAGTTTTTTATTAAGAAAAACTTTTTTATTTGACAAAATTTGCCTTCTGTGTATATATGTGCATAAAGTGTGTTGTAAATATACTAAACAAACTTATATTTCAATAAAAGGGAGTTTAAAATTTAGAATTTAATTTCTGTGGTTTTAACTGTGGGAGATCTCTGATGCCCTACCTGCTTTTAGAATAAGCTTTAGGGTTTCTCCCTTGTGTGTGTGCTTTTTAAAACAAAGGATGCATATATATCCCAGTTGTGATTACCGGAACTAACAGAATTGAACAAAGACAAGAGCAGTTTCTCTGTCCTGTTCACTCAAATGAACCATAGTGCAGGAAATTTCAGAGTTCAGTAGAGAATGTGGGGGAGGGAGAGGAAAGGAAAGTATTCTATTTCCTGGCAAATAAAACTGATATAAAAGGATTTCACTGTGATATATTCCTATATTAATCATTTGGCAAATATGATAGAACCAGATGTGCAGACTAAAATGACAAATGCCCCCTTTTTAAGCCTAACTACAATGGGCACGTGTTGCACATTTTTTTCAGCATTGTAATTACCATGCATCACGATATGTACAGACAACAAGCGGAGCACATATTGCAAACAGAGAAAGTCATAAATTAATTGTTCTCTTTAACCTCCTGGCATAAAAAAATATATATATATCTCCTGGCATAAATTCCGTTGCATCCAGGAGATCAGGACTCAACCAACCCTCTTAAGAGGTTGTGTGGGTTTTTTTTCCAGGTACTAATTGCATAAGCCCCTATAACAGCCATGGTGAGACCAAGAAAGTGGGCAGTACTTTGTATGAGACCTTTGAATCCTTGCAGTTTGGGGACTGCAAACTTAGAAATACTTTCGGATTGTCTTAAGCTCCTTTTTTGACCCATGGGGGAAGAAGAGAGGGGTTTGGTTTGTGTTTGTTTTACAACCCACCGGTGTTTTATCTTGACATTTTATTTGATGTCTGGGTCCAAGTGATCTTGCGTATTATCTTATTTTTATTTAATGACTTTTAACTCAAAGCAACTTTTGGTTACTCTAATAGTTATTTATTTGATGTGCATTTGTAAGCCTAGGGTTTTATAGACTCCTGAAGATAATTGAATCTCTGTGGGTTCCCCTTCTCACTCCACATTACAACACAGCCTGTATAATTTCACTATTTAATACCATCCTTACACTTTCAGTGCCTGATGCTAAGTCAAATCTTCAACTGAAAAAAAAGTAAAGTCCATAAACTTTGTGGGACAAGCCAAATTTTCTTATTAGTACAGCCACAGAATGTACTGATATGGGAAATATCTTTTTTTTTAAGACATTATTCATGTGAGACCTCTGATAATTACACCCTTCAAAAAGAAACATTTTCCATTTCTGATGATTGATAACTATGTGAGATTTGCTGCCTAAGTCAACCAAAGCTGTTTCCAAAAAAGGATAAATATTTAGCAACCTGCATTTTTGCCCAACATGTTCTTCGAGGAAAACAATAAGCAGAAATAAGTTTCACAGACCATGCAGGAAATACACCCTGACTCCCGTGTAGAGTCAACCCTGGTGAGTTCTGGGCCAGCAACATTCCCTACATTCCTCTTAAACTTCAGTTCCAAGCCCAGACTTGGCCATTAACCCAAAGCAAGAAACTAAGCATAATTTAAATGGCTCTTCTCAGATTCTTTAGTGAACCATATCTGCCTGTTTGAGAAATAAGTTTAATTACATGGTGGGGTTGGTAAGGGAACCCAGACTTAATTACAGAGAACAGGCTTTAACTGTTGCTATTCCTTGTGGATAATCTGTAGGCCATGGCATGGAAAGATCAATTAAAGATTTGCCATGGTCAGTGAATACTGCTAGGGCCAAATAATTTTTCAGAAAAAAAAAAAAAGAAGAAAACCCAAACTTTCAGGCTGCAGCATGGTGTGGAAAGAGTAATGGATTCTGCAGGCAAAATATATTCTGAATTCTGTCCCTTACCTATTTACTTTCAGCAAATCATTTAACTTAGTTCTCTCATCTATGAAATGGAAATTCGATCAGAGTATTGTGGGATTTAATGTTAACATATAAAACATAAGGGGCATGTAATAGGTACTTCAAAAAAAAATTCCACTTCCTCTTCATCTTTAAAAAACCTCTTGCCCTTCTTACACTCAGTAAACCCCGACTAATTTTCATCATCAAAGCCAAACCTAGCAGTTTCCAAGGTCAGGTTCAGTGTTTGAAGTGTGGTAATAAATGAATTCAGCAAAATACCAAGAACCGTCTCCCACCACTATGCAAAGCACTGGATAAGGCCCAGGGCACAGGTCTGATCTCTACATGGGCCTGCAAGTGTGGTTTCTGCACCCCAGCAGATGCCTCGCACCAAAGCAGCTATCCTCCAAATACAGGAGGGTAATTTTTTTTTTAAGTAAATGGCTTGTTGCAGATCCATCACCACTTCTAGAAAGCATCAAAAAGTGATGACTCTTTGCAAGAACAATCCTCCTCTCGATTCCTTCTGCCAAGACAAAGTAGGCAGTTGACCTTTTCTCCTTGCATTTGAGTATTGATTAATTCCCTTCGTCAGTGACATAGTTCTACACTATTAAGAGTATTTGCCCTCCTGTCTTCAAGTCAGGAAGGAAAACACATTATTTTAACACATCTCAACTCTTCTCAACCTGCCTACGGCTGCAGCTAGAAGAACCCTGTAAGGCTTAAAGGTTGATTATGTGGATTAAATGAGTAAATATTTGTTAATATTCTCAGAACAGTGCCTGGCACATAATAAACACAATATAAGTGTTTGTTCCTTGGTGAGGGAGGTCACTTTCTCCTCTAAGTCAAAATAAGAGGCGCTCTGAGTCGCAGGCAGGATCCACATTCATAATCCTTCTTTATCTTTGCAATTATAGAACATTCTCTGCATGCTTCTATTTTGGCTCAGGAAGACCAGCCAGAGTGCATGAGTCTGGCAGGAATTACCTAAAGCCCACAGTTGTCAGCTGGTTGTCTCCTTTCTGAGAATGTCTTCTATGCAAGTGGTCACAGGCACCCCCTCTTTTTTCACAGGGAGGCTGTGATTCTGTTTCTCACGTGGCTCTTCAACTCCAGGCTGCAGTGAGCTGTGGCATTTTGCACCTTCTGAGCTATCCAGTAGTCGTGGATCATCCAAGCCCAAGCGTGGATTATTTGTCCATCCACACACCTGCTCCAGCTCACAGACCCACTGATGCTATATGGTGAAAGGTTGGCAGAATTAGTAGTGAAGGAGAAAGGGGAGTCCAGTTGATCCAGAAGCACAGCCATTGCTCCAGAAGGGACTAGAATGCCAGCTGCAGGGTTGGTATGGAAACCACAGAGCAAGAGTTGACACCCACCTCTAAGTATGCTTCCCTCATTAGAGTCGAACGTTAAGGATCCTGGGAGTCAAGAGCCGGGGGCTCCTTCTGACTCACATGTCACTTGAGAAAGTCATTTCCCCCCATCTGGTTCTTTTTTTCTTACCTGGAACAGAAAGTATTGGAGTACATTGGTGACTTTCCCATTTTTTTGACCAGAACTCACAGTAAGGCATACACTTTACATTGTGAACCAGCATGTACACACAAAGAAAAACACACACACACACACACACACACAGAGGCATACAACTGAAACAAAAGTTTCTCAAAACAGTATATGCAAATGCTTTTAATATTCAATTCAATTTTAGTCTATCCCTACTCTCCCTTTACTTCCCAGTGTTAGCTGTGACCCTCTAAACTGATTTCATAACTCATTAGTGGGGTATAGACTACCCCCTGCAAAACACTGAATTAGATGATGATGGGTAAGCTCCTTTCCAGCTCTAAGATGCCAGAGAATTCCATTTATAACCAGTTTATCACCGACTACAATTTTTCCCCAAAAGGAATACAGGCTTCAATTTGGTATACTCTTTAAAAAACAGAAGACTGAAGTGCTTTATTTCAAAATATATTTGGGAGAACTGCTCCAAATCTTCCCTAAGTTCTGCTTATAAACACCTTTAAGATTCCCTTAATGTGGAAAGTAACTTGCAGTCTGTTCCAACCACGTGTGAGCAAATAGTGCTGTTGTGAGGCTTTGGAGGGGGAAAAAAATCCTTTGCATCTCTGCCTTAACATGGCCCAAGGACGACTCAGGAGGACAGTTTCTTTTCTGTGTATTCATAAAGATCAGATGTAAGAGTCATAATTTTTTAATGTGACTGTTTTACCAATTTCTCTTTCTATGTCCTGCTGTGGGGGAAACTGCATTAATAAACTCTGTCTCAATGCTGCCCAGCTGGAATATTTTTTCTCTGCAGGACTCCACCAAATATAGCTAAAGGAATGCTCATTTTATTTATCTTTTCAACTTTATTTCCATTTAGGATATGTCTTCTTGACACTTTTGAAATTTTTCTCTTAACAGCACCTTAATGTGTTTAGGAGAATAGAGAACTAATTGTTCATTGAGTAATAACAACAACAAGAAAGAACTCTTTTTCCCCCTTTCTTTGGTGCCATATGGTACCTCTTACGGTTTTCGCAGTTATTTTATACCCTATCCAGAAAAATTAAATCGCTTATGGAACTGGCATTTTTCCAGTGCCAGCTTAGAGCTTTTCCTTAGCTGAGAAATTGTGGGTTAATAACAGAGAAATGTCACTTTTAATTTGATGGTCCTACATCATGCATTATCTCTGCCTGTTTACAACCTACCCTCAATGATTTTTTTTTAATACTCATTAAAGAATGTGTCCCCAGTCTATTTTTTTTCTGGAGAAGCAAGGCGAGCGGATTATGACCATAGCCATGATCTCTTTTTTTTCTTTTTTCTTTTAGTTGGGATAAAATATACATAACATAAAGTTTGCCATTCTAACCAGTTTTAAGTATACAATTCAGTGATACTCTATTATCGATGTCATACAACCATACCACAATCTATTTCCAAAACATGTTTGTCACGCCAGACAAAAACTCTGCCATCATTAACCAGTAACTCCTCGATTCTCCTTTCCCAGCCTCTGGTAACTTCTAATCTACTTTCTGTCTTTACGAATTTGCCTAGTCTAGATATTTCAAATAAGTGGAATCACACATCATTTGTCTTTCTGTGCCTGGCTTCTTTC